TAAAGGAATCGAGAGTAATTAGACATGCTAAACATGCACTTATTGACTGACTTTCTATCTAACTGAAATCTACGCTAATTATATATCTTTCGAGCGGACTAATTGATCTATTCTTAGCAGCTATTTCTAATCATCTATCGATTGTTCTCAGTATACAATTATGACTTTTGCAGCACTGCTGTGACAATGCTGTGTACCATGCGCTGGTGTTATTGCGTCGTCGGGAGTAATGCAGAAATTTAGGAGAGAACACGTCACCGTTTATAGCGTAGCATCACGCCCAATTGAAGTTAACTAGTACTAGTACTACATTTACAGATTTGTCTATTGCTTGATAGAGAATATTGGGCATTCTCAAATTCTCATGCACAAACCCAGCATGGAGCATCTCCTCAATGAACTTTTTAATCTTCTCTTTCCACTCAACTCTTGCCTCAACCACATCATACAAGCTGTCATAGTCCTCCAAACATTCCATTATTACAACAACAACAACACTACTCATTATCATACAACAATATTGAAACTTATATTTGAAACATATTTTTATTCTTGCTGACATTAATGCAGAGTTAATGCTATCACTATTAGTATTTAAAACACAATCAAATCAATCATCACTATTTTCAAAATAACTCTTCTAACTGATGAATCAGACTTTTGTAGTCTAAATGTTGAGCTTTATCATACATTGCTTTCCAGAATTCAGATCTTGCATGGTATTTCCAAAAATCTGCAACACTCTGGGCAATTTGAATTACTCCATCTTCTTTTCCAAAAGAAAGTTTTGGAAAGTAATCAGGTTCATGCAACATAATATAGATGCTCCGGATAAAACTGATCAGATCATACTCTGGTTTATACTGTCGTGCCGACTACTGCGGGAGAGCAGAAAGTAATCGACACTTGGGATTTAACTAGTCTCGACGGAGCGCGGTGCCTCCTATTCAAGTTAAATATCTAATTTCACAGTTAGTGACCTTGTAATCGCAAGGCTTTTCACTTACGGGCTTTT